GAAACAAGCAAATGAAAATAGATATGGAAAGTCTGATTTGTTTTAACTGACTTTTCACTTTTATATTTTCTTTTTCTTTGTAACATTTTGAAAATCTTAAATATCTTTTTTTAATAAACAAGGGAATGTTCGACACGTGGTGGTCTGGGGTTTTCCCCCCTGACACCTCCCCCAAGAGTTTTGGGTGAGAGGAGGAGGATGGGTAGCCCTGTTGTATTAGCAGGACTCATGATGGTTCCTGCTAGTGCAACAATTTAGTTGAATCTGGTCCCAAGTGTTGCAACTTTTGAAGGAAAAGGAAATTAAAGAACTCTAGATGACACTGACCTGTACGCCTACAAGTAACCTTCTCCCGGAGCTTTATATATAGGCGTACAGGTATATATATATATACATGTAGGCATACATATATGTAGGTGTACAGTGGAATATAAATATCAGACTTGCAGAGTATTTCCTCCACACCCACATGCACCTCTACAAAATGTTGGGAAAGGTTAAGCTCTACAACAGTTACTATTCCTAGATGCAGTCATTTCAGAGATAAAAGGATTGAAACTCTGTCTTAGTTAAACCTACCATATTTCCTTGAGGTCTAATGCACCACTGAATCTTAATGCACACCTTCAATTTTCAGAACCTTGGAACCAAATGAAGTATTTGCTGCTGAATGTAAAAGTTGCCATTGAATCTAATGCACACCTTAATTTTTGCAACGTAATTTTGGCCAAAAAGGTAAGCATTACATTTGAGTAAAAATGGTAGTTAAAAGCACTTTAATTATTGGCAGACATTGGCCTAGAAGAAAGGTTGATGTTCTCCTTCAAGTTAGACTGGTCCAACTTTCCATGGGTTTGTCCTGTCTTTTAAAGAAGATGTCAGGTGGGTCTGAAGTACCGCAAGCACAGAAGTATGGCCCAAGATACTTAATGACTCCACTCTGTCAAAGTCAAGGCTGTAATAGACTATAGCCAATCACTATGATTAGTATGTCAGCTATGTCTGGGAACACTCATTCACTTGAAATCGCCACACTCGAAAATTTTCCAAGTACACCTTAGTTTGAGGTAAATAATAAATCAATTGAGCATGTCAGTCTCCACATTATTTGGAGTACATTTGAGGAAAATGGCATGAGAAAAGAACACAAAAGGGGAGAGGGCAAGAAATGACGTTTGGCTTGAGTGCTCCTGTACTACTTGCAGAAGTGGGAAAATAAGGATACAAATGTTTTCTTTACTGAAGATCCTACAGGGGTCTTAATGTTCCACAAGGTTAGTAAACATCTATGTTGCATTATTGAAGCTAGCATAAGATTTAATTTCTTTTCAACCAGCCTGCAGATTGAAATAATGTGTCTTGCTTTTTGGGTAAAGGGTTGAGGAATGTTTCCTACTCAAACTAGAAACTCAAGAGGTTTTGTCAAGATACAAGGAAAAGTGTAGAAAGGAAAACAACAGTACTTAAAAATAAATAAATCTCATATACAAACAATGTTTCAACTATAGGACTAAAAAGATTGTTAAAATGGGGGAGAAATACAATCCCGATGCCATCAATTCAGTGTAGGGTAATCAAGGCAGGTCGAGCTAAAGCAACAAAACATTTGGCAGCAAACTTATGGAAGTGATCAGCAGGTGAGGGGAGTTTTAGCACAGCAAGCCACATTTCAGTGATCCAGGATCCACTGAGATCTAAACATTGTAATTGCTTTGCTTTTTCTTCTTCTTTTTTTAAAGTAATCCACACAATCAACTCATTTGTGATAGAACAAACTCATACTGATGTGATCAAATATACTTTCTGAATCAAAGGCAGAAACTACTGGCATTGACAAAAAAAGAATCTTGAAGGTCTTCTCCAAATTTTCCCTTTGTTCTTTTTATATCCTTCCCATATACTCAGTACCAGAGTTGAAAAAGCACAAAGTGACACTAACTAGCTTCCAAGCCTTTATTTTAAAGTCAAAAGATGAATCTACAGACTTTTGACTCCACAAGTACTTTAAGGACAAATAATACAATTCATAACCTACTTCTGCTGGCTTTAAGTTTTAGTATGAGTGAATCCTAGCAAGATCTCTCTATATTTTTCAGACAAACAGCAAGTAAACAAACAATCTTAACTCAAGAGAACCACAGTATTTTGTTATCATGAGATGGTATGTGTCCTATACAACCTCCAAAGGGGAAAAGCTCTCAGAATAAATTGGCTTTATTTTCCTTAGTTTGAGAATGTTAAAGTCAACCAAATACTAGGGCTGTGTGCATTTGCTTCAGACAAATTCCAAATCCAGAACCAAAGTGGGACATTTCATATATTTGGGAGTCAGCCAGAGCAAAGCAATTTCCTTCTGAACTGTTTCCAAGGCAACTCTGTCTGTTTCAAACATTTCAGAACCTATTCAAATGCACAAACACTGAAAATTCGTACTCTCGTACCCCTAGATGCTCTCCCTGTAAAGAAAATACCAGGGAAGTGGGGGTGTACTTTTGTGACTGACAGCTGTAGCTCTCAACCAGAGGATTTTACAGGGCTTTTTTTTTTAACTTCCCGTCAGTACCCAAGGTGGAACTTACCAGAAAGTCTTCCAGTGTTTTTCCACTGCTTTTTGTGACTTTGTGTCAAGTAGCAGCAGTGCTGAAGGCTTCAAATAATGGACTGAGAAGCACCAATAATTCATGGTTCACACCCAGTCTCCAAGGCAGACAGGAACATGAAGTCCCACTGAGTCCCCATAACCTGAGTCAAGCTCTCCCTGTGCTTTCTCCCTGTCTGCTGATACAAGGAGGGCAAGGCACCATTTTCTGGCACCATCATAAGCCTGCAAGAAGCTTATGATGGGTAAAAAGATATAGGTACCAGAGTTTGTGGAGATGCTGGGAGATAGCTGCCCTTGTCACCTCTGCTGCCTACTTTGTCACTGCTTATAATAAAAATGCAAGTGATGAGCATGGCTCCCATCCCCCCCAAAAGGAGGATACTCCCCTCCCCTCTTGAAATAATATGGGGAGGGATGTGTGCAGGAAGGGCTTTAGATGCACAGATGCTCTTACTATAGAGCCAGTGATGAGATCTGGGCTTCCAAGTTCTGAAACAGAGAAAAGAGGACACACACATACACCCTCTTTGCCTGAAAGAAAAGGATTTTGGTGGATCTCTGGGGGCTTTACAAGCAGGTAGGGTTATATAGTTATATATAAACTGTTAGGCTGCCCAACACAACTCCTCATTACACCTGTCAGCGTGAAATATGGCAAATTTCGTTCTATAGAAGAGACCATTATGTCTACAAGTTTTATCTCATTATGTCAGAGAGCAGAACAACTATAGCTATTTGTTGATTTCCCCATTGTAGTCACTGGGGGCACCAAGTTTCAGATTTTCCAAAGCAGGGTTCTGATTCTGACCAGAGGTGAAGTGTGTGGTCTGTGAAATGGTTTCAGCCAAATTTGGCCACATTCCAGATTGTCTATCCAGTGTGCTAGAAAACATGTAGCCCAAACTTTGTAACAGAGCACATCCTTTGTATGCAGGAGGCTGAAGGCTGACTCACCAGCATCTTCATCTATGCAATTTCAGGTAGCAGTATTGGGAAAGAAACCATGAAGAGCCAGTCACCAATCAGATTCGCCTGTTTTGTGCAGTACAATGGTGTGACAAGCTCTCACTTAGAACAAGCTAAATCTACTAAATATGTGGCTCTTCTAAAACTTCCTGTAGGAAGTTTCTCTCCTTGCTTGACTAGCCTCTACTTTGTAGTCACATTGAATCTGACTATCCTTCTCACTGCAGTTGCATTTAGCATTTTATAACATTAGAACAGCTCAGAAGTACCTAAGGGGACTTTCAAGACTAAATCATAGCAAAAAGGAAGACACTGTTGACTGTACGCTTAGATTTTCCCAAGTTATGTCAAAAGCCTTGTCCTTAGCTTCTCTTCTTCTGTCTCTTGTTTATTTTAATATTGTAAGCCTATGGGCACGGATTTCCATTTTTCCATTTTTGTATAGTGCCCACTGGGTAATACTGACTAAGTAATAGGAAAGGGCCACTGAGATCAATAAGCAACTTAACAGAGAAGAGAAAATTGCAGGGGAGAAATAGTAGACACAGGAAAGGTTAAGCATCCTTACCTCTCACCTGCTAAGTCATAACCAATGTAAGTCCATTGATTTCAATGTGTCTACTCTCAGCATGACTTAGCTGGATTCCACCCAATGAATATTAGGCTTTTAAAAAAATAAAAATGATGAAATGCTTGAAGGCAGTGTGGAATTTGTTAAGTTGCTGAATGATTAACAAACCACCAGGCAGGTCTCCGTTTCTTACCTTTGACAGGAGTAACTTCACACAAGACACATGGCCTTCATAAACTGCTGAAAGGAGTGGAGTGATATTGTGTTTGTCTGGAGCCTGTAGGAAAGAGAAATGAAGTTACACAATAAATTCCATCTACAATATACTATATCTAATAATGCTCAGATATCACATTCTTGGCAGGTGGGTATCTGCCAAAAATGGTACTGTTGCACACAGAACATATTCAGCCAGCTGCAATGTTGCTAAATGAAAGCAAGTCCAGACCTACATTTTACTTCTGCAAAAGCATGTCCCTAATTTTCCTAAAATGGTTTATAAAAGCTGTTAATTATTGGAATTGGTTACCAAATGGAATTACATCAGGCTACAGCAGAGGGAAGGATGGGAGGCAAGGCCATTCCAAAAGAGTAGCTCCTTTAGTCTCCTATTCTCCCTGAAGTGTTTCATCTCAGCTAGTCATCATAGGAACTTCATACATTTAAGAATTTGGGCATGGATTTTCTTGATTTCCTCTTTCCTATAGACTCTTTCCCCCTTTTGTATCATGGCCTTTAGACTGCAAGCCTAAGGGTAGATGTTGCCCTGTTTGTTATTGATTCATCTAGGATATTTTTTGGTTGAAGAACAGGGTGAAAATATTTACATAAAAACTTAGTATACAAAACACATTAGAAAACTGGCAGACTTTAACCTGAATAGAAGACAGTTACTGCAGACAGCAGTTTCTAAGATAATACCAACTACTATTATCTTACTAGAATACTAATAATGAAGCAGATTTATCCTCTCATAGGTCTAATATGAACCAGACAGAAATTGCATTGTATCAAATAAAATGGAAGTGTAAAAACTCACTTCATACAAATTGTGTAGTGAACTGTTGAATCATTCAAATGTCTGAGCCATTCAGATTAACCAGATTAGTTTTTATCGGCCAGTTACTGAAGACTGGAGACATATTAGTTTTCACAGAGCTGAATGTAGCATAAGAGGCATTTTACTTATGGACGCATCTCATGATCCCTTCTAATGAATAGTCTGTTTTTGTATTGTTTAAAATACATGCAAAACCTGTTTGAACAAGAGGCAACGGTGGAGCAAACATTGCTGCTGCTGCTGCTGCTGCTACTACTACTAATAATAATATGCACATACATCCAAGGACAACTATGCCTCTACATCATTGTTTTGAAATGCACAGAAAACTATCATTTGTCTTCAGTCAAAGACAGAACTAAACCAGAACTAGACAGAGTTTTAATCAACATACATACATTCATATCAGCTCCTTTTAGTAGAAGGAACTCCAGGATCTCAAGCTGTCCACAGTCTGCAGCATAGTGAAGAGGTTTCCTCCCACCTTCCAGTGTCCGATTAACATCTTCACCCTTCAGAATTAAAAAAGTTAATAATTTTATATAATTCTACATAAAATTTAGCTCTGAGATCTAACTATGGTCATTACTCAAACATAGCAGACAACACTTGCTTAAAACTCTTGCTCAAACACTTGCTCAAGACATGACAGCAATATGGGGAAGGTAGTCTGCAAAGCAATGCCTCATTTCAAGAACCAGGAGTGTCAAAATTTATATCCATAGTGCTTGTTGCAAAACAATTTGTTTTTCCTGTTCCATTTATCCCTCTACACCTCCTTTAACTTTCCCAAACTTTGATCTGTTCATAGCTTGAAGGTTCACCATTATTAGGACTAATAAATGTACAGCAGGTGGTATTAATGTAGCTGTGAAATCTTACTAATACTATTAGAAGTTATTTAAGAAGTAGATATTTTGGAAGCATGACCTCTCAGTAGCATGCGCAGACATAGCGAATTGCAACCCGCACACGCACAGACACGGGTTGCGTTCACTTCAGGATGCGAACGGGGCTCCAGAACGGATCCCATTTGCATCCAGAGGTACCACTGTATAGCCCCCCACAAGGTCTGAGGGACAGTGGACTGGCCCCCTGCAGAAAAAGTTTTTTGACCCCTGTTCTAAATCATGTTTCTTCCATAGGCCACAAGATGCTTTGTGATGCAACCAAGAAGTCCATAAAGGCAACCAGTATTCCCTGGTACAGTATAGTGATCCTGAACCTAGAGGTTCTACACAACTATTAACAGACTATCCACAAAATTTATTGTTTTTCTTGATTAGGTTAAAAGCTACTACCAAATTCTGTATACTGTCCATGTCTTTTGTTTGTTATACTTTCAAGTGTTATATAGAGTCCTTATAGCAAGCACTGTATGAAAATTCTGAAGGATCTACACACCACAAACATCTTGAAAAATTGTATCATGTCCCAAGTTCAATGACCCAATAAATTCCTTAACTCAAATAATTAGCAGTTTCCAAGAATGTAGCAATTTACTCTGTCACAATATACTTTTCGGCATACTTCTGGCACAACAACAGTATTTCTGAAGTACTAGTAGCGACTTTTCTTTTATGGTTCAGAATTTTAGAGCTGCTGAATGTCCCTTTCATTTATTAGAACTCAAAGGCTTCCAGACCATATAGATACTGTGCTTCCAGCTCTGAATAAGACTCTTGATAAAGTCTAATCATTTAAATTCCTCCATTCATTTGCATCTCAAATTATAAGACTGAATTAAATTTTTATTGTCTTTACTCATTTGATGCACCATGACATCAGAACATTTAAAAAGCACAATGAATAAATTTAGTGATAAATCTTTTAATTGTGCAACTCTAAGTTTATAATTTAAAATGTTCATTGCTTTCCCTTCTGATTATTAAGCCAAGCCAACTATCTTTGCTTTTGCCTGTCTTTTGCATTTCCCTTTTGTTACACTAAAAGATTATTTCTTTGAATACTGAATTCAGTCAAACTGTTACAGAATGCTCATCAGCACTAATGCCCTAATCACTTGAGACCACTGAATGCACCTCTTGTTCTGATAATACCAACTCCTATCCTGAACAGCAATATAAAAATCCACTTCATGTACCTTCTTCTCAGCTTCTAACTACTAAGCACTTAAGGGCTCTTTTCAGGTCAATATTACCTCCTCTATTCATACATGTAATTCATAACCTAAGGGAAATATGTGTCAGTATAAGAAAACCTATTTATTCATTCTAAGAAAAGGATTCTTATAGTATATCCCTTCAAGAAGAAGTAAAAATGGAAGTCTAGATTCCAATTAAAGTTTTTGAAGTGTCTCAAGACTGAAAACATATCCCAGAAGTCTTATATTTCTTCACGGTGAATGTAAACCATCAGATAGTGGAATAATTCTCTCACACACTAAAAGGTTCTGGGTTGGCTGCAGTTACTTAGGAAAAAGATCTTGAAGAGGAAAGCAGCAAGCTCTCAGAAGTCAGCAACTTGGCTTTCTTAAGACCAACATTATTCGGAAAGGAACTGAGAAGACACAAAGTAACAAGCCCCTATAAAATATAAATCTAAAGTCCTCATATCACACACAGAACTCAAGACAAATTTCAAAAGTCCTCTGCAAGTGATCTGCTCCTGCTGGGTAGAAAGCAGGAGGGAAGGAGAAAGAGAGAGAGAGAGAGGGGGGGGGTCTTCTTTTGGCTCTGTCCCAGTCCAATCCTTCAAGTCAGCCCTTCTCACAATTGGCATGTGCCCAAGACATTACTCCCGAAAGAATGCAGGCCTCAACAGAAAAAGAAAGAAGGAAAAAGATTGCCCACTCTGATCTACAGCAGGCTGATTTTTAGAACACCTATTTGCTCCATTTTCTTTATGTCAAAGAAAAGGAACCACAGAAAGTGGAGAAAAGAGCAACCAAATTATCAGGTGAGAAGCATAAATTTGCCCAGAGAAATACAAGACATATATTTGAGTCTTTTCAAAGCTTCGAAGACTCGAGGAATGTTACAATGTTTAAAATTAAATGCGCTGGTGGAAGTTAATAGAACTCAACCCAAGAACTGTGGTTACCTTGATGAAACTGACAAATTATCTGATTTAAGGCAAATTTAAGATCTAGGACATCAAATTTGCTGCATTCCTGTGGTGAGTGGTAAACAAGGGAGAACTGATTAAGTGTTGTGTATACTGCCCCATCTAGCTTTTTAAACAAGAGAGGCAGCAAATGAGGAAATGTGAACTCTGGACCAGGCCTCCTTAGTTCTGGAAGCAAGAACATCTCATCCAGGAATAGCTGGCGACATGGTTGAGCCTTTCTGTATGTCAGTGCGCTCCTTTCTGTATGTAGAACCACGATATAATCATTTTGATACTGAAATGTTCACAGCAAACAGGTACATTAATCCAACACAAGTACAGGCCCAATAGAAGGGAGAAGAGTTGTCTGAATTGGGCCTTGGTTTTAATTAGTTTTTTAGTTCTTTGCTTCAGACTCTCCAACCCTTAATCTCTTTGTCAAATCTGCCAGAAAAACAGGAAGCTGATGTGCTATATGAGCAGGCAAAAACTGCTATTGAACTGGCATCAGGCTCTTTTATTGTACAGTGGTACCTCAAGTTACAAACGCCTCAGGTTACAAACACTTCAGGTTACAAACTCTGCTAACCTGGAAGAGTTACCTTGAATTGAGAACTTTGCCCCAGGATGAAAACAGAAATAGTGTGCTGGCGGCGCAGCGGCAGCAAGAGGCCCCATTAGCGAAAGCACGCTTCTAGTTAAGAACGGACCTCCAGAACGAATTAAGTTCATAACTAGAGGTACCACTGTATTCTTTTTGGCACCTACTTAAAATATTTTTGTTTAGGGAAGCTATTCAGACAAGTAGATGTTAATGTGTTTACTGCTGATTGTAATTGCTTTTTAAACAAATGTTTGAATTACCTATTTTTAACTGTTTTATTTATAATGGTAATATTTCTTATAAAGTGCTTAGGCTTTGCTACAATCAAGCAGCATATAAATCTTGTTAACAAAAACATAATATAAAATGTGGCCTTCTACATATTGTTGAACATCTAGCCCCATCTGTCCCAGCCAGCATAGCCAATGGCCAAGGATGAATGTTGTAGTCCAACACCTGAAGGACCACAGGTTTCCTATCCCTGGTCTAACCAAGTCTCTAACAGGAAGTCTGGAAATAATGTTTGGGGTGGAGGAGAAAGGGACAGTTGAAAGAAAAATGTTAAAGTGAGCACTAGAAAAATTTGAACATGAAACCAGCAGAGGCTGCTATCAGGAGCTGACACAGATCAAGCAGAAACAGAAAGGATCTACTGTAGTTCAGTCCAACACATCTTTGAGTACAGCAGATAGCACCAGAAATGAATGGGCTACAAGACACAGAGGGATAGTACTATTTATCGGGCTAGTGCTAGTTGAATATACTCATGACTCAATTAGAACTGATGAGACTTTCACACTGAGAAAATTGAGTTCAGCCAATAGGTTTTCATAGAATCCTACTTGACCTGAGTTGTGCTCTAGACCTACCCATTTGTTGCAGTGAATCCAGAGCTAGAGCATCCCTAACAGATGGCTATCCATCCTATGCTTGAAGAATTCCAGGGAGGAGCTCATCAAAACCCTAGGTAACTGGCTCCATTGTCATACTATTACACTCATTACTGCCTCCAGGCAACAGAGAACAAGGCTTTGTCCCTTTCTACACAACAGCGTTCCAAATATTTGAAAAGTGCCCCTTCTTAAACTTCTCCTCTTCAAGCTCAACAAACCTGGTTCCTTCAAACTTTCTTCACAGGACTTGTTTTTCATACCAGTGACCATCTTTGTTGCTCTCCTCTGAACCTTGTTTGAACTTGTTCACATTCTTCTGATAGTGCAGCACCCAGGAATTCGAAACAGTACTCAAGATGAAGTCTGACTATTGATTAATTTATTATGAATCAAGACCTGTCAAATCAAACCCCATTATAAGCCCATTCACATTTTTAAAGTATTTGTGCCTAACTGCAGTCAACTGTACATGCATGGCAAGCTGATTAGCTTCTCTTGTCACATAGGTTTATCATAGAATCACAGAGTTGGAAGGGACCCCAAAGGAATTTCAACTAAAGCATCCAAGACAGATGGCCATCCAACCTCTGTTTAAAAACCTGTTTAAGAACCTCCTGAGGCAGTCTGTTCCACTGTCAAACAGCTCTTAAATCAGAAAGTTATTCCTGATGTTAAGTAATGCGCTAAGTAGACATCTGTGCAATTCAAATGCAAAAAAATGGAACCTAGAACCAGCAGATTCATACCTTCAGAACTCAATAGAAGAGGCTGAACATATGTTTATGACTACTTCACACAAATATGATCACCACTATAATGTCCTGTTGTACCATATACACCATAGGATCAGACAAAGATGCATTCCATATTACTAATTGCACCCTAGGGAAGGCAGCTTTCTTTCTTTTATTAGCATAGAGGAGGAGGATGGAAAAGTAGTTGAGTGCATCTCTCTTAACTCTCTGTTTGCATGCTATTTCAAGCTGGAAAGAACCCCACAGTTGTAGCTATTGCTATTGTTATTTAGTACAGTATTTAATACCTGCTTTTCTACATAGAGTACCCAGGACACCTTAAAAAAATAGAAGTGTTGTTAATATATAAATTGATTAACATGACCACCACCAAACCCTAACACAATAAGGATATTGTATACAAATCTAATTTTTAAAGTGATATATGTCTATCCTGGAATTTGTACATCATTTACAAATGTCCTACATAGACTGCCTAAATTCTTCACCAAGTATTCTTCAGTACAGGTATCAGTCTACAGCAGGCACCTTGTCCAAAATTGTTGGCCAGAGCCCACAAAAATCTATAGCTACAAGCTGGGTGAAGTGATTTTGTTATAGATACACTTACTTTCCCTCTTCCCAGACATTCAGGTTTTATGAAACCTACATCCCTTCATCCTATAAGACTTTTGTGAAGAATAGCCTACTTCTATAGTATATAAAACAACAACACTAATCAGACTAAAGGTCTACCCAGCTAAACAGCATACTTTGAAAGCAACCATACTTGGGTACTTTCCAAAGTTGTTACACAGGAAGGCAGTAGTTTCATGGATTTAAATACTGAAGTGTCCCAACTATTTAGTGAATGAGTTGGGCAAGTCTATGTAATTTAAAAGCAAAAGGGGAACACTGATGAGGAGGGCAGAACTTTCCTGCCTGCAGCTTCTATCCTCAAGTGGTTTCCTCCTGGCGCTGTGGGTTAAACCACAGAGCCTAGGACTTGCCGATCAGAAGGTCGGCGGTTCAAATCCCCGCGACGAGGAGAGCTTCCGTTGCTTGGTCCCTGCTCCTGCCAACCTAGCAGTTTGGAAGCACGTCAAAGTGCAAGTAGATAAATCGGTACCGCTCCAGCGGGAAGCTAAACGGCGTTTCCGTGCGCTGCTCTGGTTCGCCAGAAGCGGCTTAGTCATGCTGGCCACATGACCCAGAAGCTGTACGCCGGCTCCCTTGGCCAATAAAGCGAGATGAGCGCAGCAACCCCAGAGTCGGTCACGACTGGACCTAATGGTCAGTGGTCCCTTTACCTTTAAGTAGCCTCAGCTGCCAAAAATGCCTGAACACAAGAGCCCCAGGGGGCTTCAGTGTCCTCACTTCTTTCTACATTATTAAATGTGAAATTGCCCCTAACACCTAGAACTATTGCCCTAACATCATTTTTGGACCCAACTTCTACCAAAACTCCACTGCCTTCCATTTCCAGGAAACTGCACCTTGTCCAAGGACACCCAATTTTACAGCCAGGTAGTTGAAAGCCACCATTTCTATCCCATCTTTACTCCAAGAAGCTCAATTTGGTGTACATGGTTCTCTTTACCTCCATTTTATCCTCACAACAACCCTGTGAGGCAGGCTAGGCTAAGAGACTGTGACTGACCAGCATCACTCACTTAGTTTCATGGCTGAGCAATGATTTGAACCCTGGTCTCTCAGGCACTGGTTTAACACCAACCACTAAACCAAACTGGCTCTCTTATAAATCTGCCTACCCTATTTCTGATATCAGTTATACCACTAGCCCTGGAGGCAGAAGGCTCTGCAGATCAGCTATTTGTTTATTTGGCCACCAGAAACATGAAAGTAGACAATGAAATCCTTTTGCTGACCAGCTCTTACTTCTACCCTTGCACAGAACAGCACAAGAGGCTGTCATGCCCACTTTTTAATAAATGTTTGAATAAGAGAGAATATATAACTGAATGGCAAAAGGTGCATCTCATGCATGCTTCTCCAGTTCTTATGAGATGAATTAATTAGTTCTTAACACAACTTGTTATACACTCTCAACCGGACTGGCTAAAAATACTAAGGTCTTAATCCTCCCCACTTAGTTTTTTCCAATGCTACTTTATTTTATCACCTTTGGCTCAATAAAAACCTAGTGGGTACTAAGGTCTTCCATTCAATGTTTCCATTGCTATTTTAGTTCATCACCATTTGCTCAATTAAAAACCCAGCAGGATGTCGGGACACCAATCTCATTTCCTTCACACTCTTATCATGCAGCGATTATATTTTGTTCCATGCTAAATAAAATACAAGTACAGATATAGCAGGTAAGGACCACACATTGGAGAAAGAAAGGGTGTGGCTTTACGTTTGCAGCATACAATTCGCCCAAAATAATTTGGGAGTGGGGCAATTCTGCCCTCTAACCCTTTGGGGGGGGAAAGGGTTCAGAAAGAGCGATCTGGGGAAAGTGGGAGGATGCTTGAACCTCTATAAAACTGACGAGGAACGATGGCACGCTCTCCACAAGCAAGCTCAAGCAGAAGGGTGGGCGGGGACTAGGCCTCTAACAGGAGGAAGAGGCAAAGCCTTCCCTTCAGCTTCCATCACGGCGTCAGGAAAGATGTACCGTAGCTCCACGACGAAGGGGGGCGGGCGGGGAGGGGATCACCCACCATCCAAATCATTTCCGGTGCCCTGGAGTGAGGCAAGAGTACCCCTGAGCATGTGTGGATTGCGACATCGACACACACAGCCTCCAGAGAGTAGTAGGGGAAGAGCTCGGGCCTGAGCCCCGGCACCTTCAGTTTGCGAAGCAGATGACGGCGGGTCCGGTGAGGAAGAAGGGGAACCCCGCCTCAAGGCCAGGAAGCGGCGCCCAGGCTCTCCCTGCCTCCCCGCCCACCCACCCACCCCCGGCGGCCTTACCTTGGCCACGTAGTCCTTCACCTCGTCCAGGTCTCCGTTCTTGAGGGCCCACATGAACTCCTTGTCGGACATAGCGGCTGCCGCCCTGACAGGGGACACGGCGAGAGGGCCTGGCAGCGTTCGCGCGACGAGGGGCGGGGGAAGAGGAAGAGATGGGCGGGGCTGGACCGGAAGCGGGCGCGGCGTTGGTGGCGGCGGCGGCGGTTGGACTGCTGCCTCTCGCGGCGGTGACGGCCGTTGCCACGCCAACGGCGCTCGCTGCGCGCGCCTTACTCACGGAGAAGCCGGCAGAGGGGGAAACTTTGGGTCCGCCATTAACGTTTCGAGTCGTTTATACTTTAAATGAAGTGTGCTTTTAAAATAACAATAACCCCCCCAAAAAACCGCCTTTCGCATCTCTCCCCACACCGCTTTCGCTCGCTCGCCCCGCCCCCACAGAAAAAAGTGAGACAAGCCCGCGCCCTCTGCCTTCTGCGCCGTAAGGAAGGGACGGGCTGCGGAGCATGCGCATGCGCAAGGAGGAAGGAGCGTCCAAGTCGCTCATGGAAACGAGAATGGACCGGTGGATAAAAAAAAAGCAGTGCGCATGCGTCTTATTCCCTCCAGGTTAGCTCGTTCAAACTTAAACCGGCTACCGGTAAATCGTTGGGTAGCTCTCGTGTTCGCGCATGCGTAGATGGTTTTGGCTGTGATGGGTGGTGAGGCTTTCCGATTCACCAATACTGTAATTTAAGGTCTCGAAAGCAGCTCGATGCTCTCAGGGTTTACTCTGAAGTAACACCCCCCAGATTTCAACAGGGCTTGCTCCCCTAAGTATACGTGCAGGTCCTACTTAGAACTAGGTCCCACTGAGTTCAGCAAGGCTTACTCTCAGGTAAGTGCAGCTTTAGGCTGCAACCCTGTGCAGTAGCTCAGACCTAACCATGCCTGCTCAGAAGTAGGGCCTGTTGAGTTCAATGGGGTTTACTCTCGGGAAAGTGGAGTTGGGATTACAGCCGTACTCTGACACTCAGTGGGACAGACTTTTGAGTAGACATGCTGTGACAGGACAATCCTATACAAGGCTGCTGAGGTGTAATCACGCTGTTGAATTACCGTGATAGCTCTTCAGATCATAGAACAAATGCCAAAACTTCAAGGAAAATAGGAGGTGGGAATATTTTCTTAACATTTCTGCTCCTATTACCCTCTTTAGTAGAGGTGCCTTTATTTTCTTTCCCTGAGAATTTCCTCCCAAGGAGACACAGTTGGTACCAGGTAGAGTTCCCTCTGTTCTCCCAGGCATTTTAACATTTTCCATTTTGGGAAGATTGCTGTTGGTTCTAGTTTAGTTGTTTGGGCTTTGATTTGTTTTTATCTCTCCTTTTTTGGCTGATTTTAAATTGTACCTGTGTTTTGCATGAATTACTTCTTATTCAAGCTTTGTCTGATTTTTTTTTCCTCGTGAAGGGTAGTCAGCAAATATTTTTAAAGTCCAGGGTTCAAATACCTACTCAGGCATGAAGCTCACTGGATGACCTTGGACCAATCAGCATCTTTCAGCTTAGCCTCCCTCACTGGATTAGTGTGAGGATAAAATGGGGAGCGGGATGTATGCCATTGTCAGCTTGTTGGAGGAAAGGTAAGATATCAATGTAATAAAATAATTCCTGTGTTCACTTACTTGGGTTTAAGTCTCATTGAAATCAACAGGACCCCGCTTTTCATCCAAACAGGCTCCCTGTATCTTAACAGGTCAGTACCAAACAAAAAAAGTTTACAGTCTTAACAGGCATGACACAAAAGGAATAAGGGCTGGAGAGGGAGGAGGCACATGAGCCGGTTGATAATGTTGCTATAATTTATTGTGTGCATGTAGTACATTTGTTACCATTGGACAGGACAGCCTCTGCTCACAGAAGCCTTCAAGTACAATGCTGATTTATAAATTTACATATTGCATAATAAAAACCCAAGCAGTTTGCATAAAGGCAATTAAACTGCAACAATTTTCAATAATGTTTCCTTTAAACTGAGATGGAAACAAATCTATATAGCACAAAGAAAGCTGAACAGCACTGAAAATTACGTGTCAGTCTAGGAAATATTTGGTAGACATAAATGTTTCTAAGTGGCAATTAAAGGTGATTACTGTCTCCGCCTTACAAATTGCTTAAGGGCATTCCATAGGTTGGTGCTGTCACCAAGAAGGTCTGCTTCCCCGTTGTCATCAAGTGACAATCGGCAGAGTCCCCTTGAAAGATCTACCAGCGATCTGCTTGCTGGTTTGCTACATATTGGTGTTGTACAGAAGGTGGGTCATCCCTAGCATGTATAACCTCTGTACAGCGTCTTCTAAGTAACAGTGGTAGGAAACAAAATGTTTTGTGAGTAGGTGAACGAAGGAAAGTTTCTGGGGGAGTGCCAGCAAAGAACTTAAAGCTAGGGCAGCAGGAATTGGAGCCAAGTTTAGTCATCAGAGTATAATAAGAGCCTTGCTGGATCAGTCTACTGGTCCATCTATTCTATTCCTCCATTCTAATCTTACAGTGGCCAACCAGATGCTTATGGGAAGTCGGAGTTGTATAGTGCTGAACATTTCCCCCCACTTTTCGGTCTTTGTGGCATCATTTTTAACAGTTTGTAGCAGCAAACAGTGGGGCGTCACTTTCATTTAAGTGGTGCTGTTCCATGACAACCAAAAAAAGTATACTTTCCACCTTCCAAGGAAAGTAAAATGAAAGTATTAGATTTTAAATATTATTGAAGCTGTGTGACCTATTATGAATCTCAAAAATTAATACAGTTCGGTACAGCTGCATGATTATGAAAAGGCACCATTAATATAGAGAGACCTGCCAGCGATGCCTCATTAATGGAAGGTAAGCATGTTAGAGGATCCTTGGGTTTTATTTCAGTGACTTTCTCCTTTCGCCTTTGTACTGCTGAACCTTGAAAATGTAAAGAGCTTCAAGAATTTTTGAAACAAAAACTCCTGACAGGGGTTAAGTGCTCATTAAAATTAATAGGACTAGCAAAGGAGGTTGCTTCCAAGAAAACAAAAATCTGGGAACATTTTGGCCTGAATAATGACTGATTTCACTAGTAAATGGAGAGGTGAGCAGTACAATATTTTTCTGCAGTCTTACCCCTTTTTCGCTTAAGATTTTTTTTTTTTTTTAAAAAAAGGTATGAGGCATAACCTCTCAAAAATGGTTAATGTTTGAGTCTGGCACCCTGATCCTATATATTTGTATATGCTTATCAACCTACAAATATCCCAAAGGCATTGGAATAATACTGCTTTTTTTAAAAAAATAAAATAAAATAACATGCCACTTTCCCCCTTGATGTAGGATCACCCAAAGCGGCTTACAAATATAGAAGCAAACAGAGACCCAATAGCCAAAATGCAAAAGATCAAAGAGCCATGCAAACACAGTGAAGTATCATTGATACATAAAAGTGGCAATAGAATCAAAACCGAGCTTAAAAGGGGGGTATTTTCAGTTTCCAGCACATCTCCCATTGCTAGGAGGTCAGAACACTCAGGAAATAGGAGGTAGTGCTCCTTCCCTGAGTTCTAATGTTTCCCTTCAATGGTGCTTTGCAAGCAGAGGTGACTTGTGCAAGGAGGAGGCACAACCAATTTTGCCATGGGCCTAAGCAACTTCAAGCATCTTGATAGGCCCGATTTGGGCTGCGGAGGACACTAAGATTGCATTTAGCCCCTAGAGCCCTCCGGCCTTATATAACTTCCTGTTGTCCTAACCCATCACATAAATCAGGACAAAACCTCCTGATGATAGATCCTGTTATCTATGCAAGAGCTATGCTTTCTTTCTAAATGCCTTACATCCAAGAGTTCTAACCACAGAGGGCCTTCTCGGTGGCTGCACCCCTGTTATGAAACACCCTTCCAACAGGGATCCTTTTAGCATCTACAACACTGCCTTTAGCAGTAGGTAAACACTCCTGTTCAACCAAGCTTTCTGATTATTCTGTTCTGCATTACAGTGGTGCCCCGCAAAACGAATGCCTCGCAAGACGGAAAACCCGCTAGACGAAAGGGTTTTCCGTTTCTGAGTTGCTTCGCAAGACGATTTTCCCTATGGGCTTGCTTCGCAAGACGAAACATCTTGCTAGTCTTGCGTTTCCCCCCCCCGCCCCCCCCTTTTCCTAAGCCGCTAATAGCCTTTTAGCAGCTTAGCCGCTAATCCTTTAATAGCCGCTAAACCGCTAATAGCGCTAATCCGCTTAGCCGCTAATAGGGTTGCTTCGCAAGACGAAAAAAACCGCTAGACGAAGAGAATCGCGGAACGGATTCTTTTCGTCTTGCGAGGCACCACTGTACTTAGAGGGCATATCTGTTAGCGTAGTTTGCTTATGCTGGAACAGCTTTTTGTGTTGCTTTTATTGCTCTTTTTGAGACATTGTTCCTAATCTGGTGATGGTCATTCTTGTTTTTGTTTGAAAATGGTTCTTTGCATGAGCTGCCTTGAATACTACTGTGTATCAGAAAGACAGCACAAACATACTGTCCAGTGGATAGGAAATATTTGTTTTATTTAGCAAAATGTTATACTGCATAATTAAAAAGAATCCGCTCAGCGATTTGCATAAAATAACCTAGAACTTTCATAAGAATTTACCAATAAAATCAACAGTTCTAAAAACAATGAAATAGAATAAAATTACTGGTCTGGGTACAGGGTTGTCTAACAAAACTTTTTAGCAAGCATCAAACACAATGCAGCTAAGGTGCCTGTCTAATGTATTAATGTTGCTATGTTTGCAGTGCAGTTGATAAGCGCCAGGGCAATCTCAACTTGGATGCTGCTTCTGCTGCTGAATAGCTCTGACTCAAATCCAGTGTGCGCTTTCAGACCATTACTGACTTTGACTGTGCTGACAGCGGCAAAATCTTTTGGCCAGTGAGCAAACGGGGCTTGTCCACTTGCAGAAGAATTGAGACAGGAAGTAGCAGATGTTTTGCTTCTGAGTAGGATCTGTCAAAAACTGTACAAGATGTCTGAATCTGTTTCACTTCTGATTTTTGTAAGCTGCTCTGGAATTTTTTTGAGCTAAAAAGCAAAGTAAAAAAAATCTCCCAAATAAAGAAGGGAGCAATCATGACCATCCACCCAGCCCAGTGGGGCTTTATGGAGTACTGGGGTGACTTCCACATCTGCAGCTTGGCCAGAGATGGTAGCCAGGGCAGAAGGAGGGTAGGAAGTTTCATTGGGCCCAGTGCCATTAAGGAATGGAAGTGAGCTCAGTTTTGGATCCAACCCCTAAAATCATGTAAATTTCACAACTAAATAACTTGGATGCATTGTTATTTGCAATCTTTCGTTGGGCTGTACTTACATGCTTTCATTTAAAAATTAAAATAAAAAAATTCTATAGAAGGATTGTCTTT